TATATATATATTTTTTTTTTTTTTTCCTGTTCAAAATGGTGCTCTTATAAGAAAATATCAAGCGATACTGGGACAGACTTCAGTATCACCTTCACTTAAAATGTTACAATCTAATCCTGGTTACATGAAATAAGCCTTGTCCAGAGCACATTTGAGTTTACGGACCTGTTGCAATGACTGCAACTCCAGGATGAGCGTCAAAGAATTTAACAATCCTGGATCATGTCAGATCATCAACATTAAAATCCAGCTAATTTAGTCATCTACACACGAAGAGTGGGTGTTATTAGGTTTATTCCAAGATGTACCCTTCCCCATATATCTGCAAGATAATTTCTAGTAATAAATTCCTCTGTTGTGTGGTTAAAGTGGTTGCTGTCAGGTTTAGCGGGCCATCTGTCTTCCCATTTGTCAGGTGTCATATTCCAGTTGCTTACAATTAAATTCTGCTGGATTTCCTGCAGCTCTGATAATGCGATTGTGATATCTTTAAGCGTTTGTTTATTTTGGGCACTGGTTTAATGATCATACATGAAAAAAACTACTTTTAAAACCAGCATAACCAAAGACCTTGACCAACTGACCTGAATGTAATTGTATGACCTGGAAAGCTAAACAAATGACTAAATAATATTTGTTCAGAATTTAATATCTATATCAGCACAATGATAGCGGCAACTCTTTTGGAGTATACTCCTGGACTCTTTTACAGTACATATAATCTGATTTGGATTCCAATATCAATAGTTTATCTTTATCTTCACAATTTAATTCTGCCTTATCACAATATTGATTCCTGGAACAGATTACTTTCTTCTCCTCTTTTTTTCATGGCAAACTCATTACTAATCTTTATGGAACCTTCTCTAATTTTGTATTTTACACATTCCCATTTATTATAAAAACTTCAGTTTCAGATAATATTTATTTTATCTCTGTAAAATATTACTTACTTTGGTAACTATTTAGTTTTGGGACCAATTCTCATTAACTAGTTGCTTATTAGCATGCATATTACTAGCATATTGGCTCTTCTTCTAAAGCACATATTAATGCCTTATTCTGCATGACCAATTTTTAGATCCCTTAATCCTACCCATACCTAAACTTAACAGCTACCTTACTAACTATTAATAAACCGCAAATTAGGAGTTTATTGAGGCAAAAGTTGTAGTTAATAGTTAATAGTGAAAATTGGTCCCCAAACTAAAGTGTGACCCTTATTTTTTAAAAGACTTAAATTAAATTGCTAGTGATCTTCAGTGTTGAGAAGTGTAATGGGTCTTAATTTATCTAATAATCTTTGCCATGCTTAGGGATATGTATTATTAGGCCTGGCTTTATGCTTGTTACTCTTTCCTCTCTATGCTTGAATTGCTTTGAACAACAAATGTCTAATATCTTTCCAAAAAAATCCATAAAATTCGGCCATGAGCTCATCAGTACCGTGGAATTTATTAAGACAGTCTCAAACTCACATCATCCAATTCTTCTATCCTTTAATTGGACTCACAAAATTCTGTAAATTAATCATAAATCTTGGGAATACCACTTTATATAGCAATACTCTAATTGAATCAGTGGGCTAAAGTCAGTCACACCTCGACTTTCTTCCAAATAACGCACATTTCATTCATAATATTGTAAATACAGCATAGTTCCTGCACATTTTTGTTTTTCTGAATTGTGTGAAATGGCTAATAAAAATAGGTAATACAAAACGATTATGTGATCACCAAGGTGAATTGGTTTAGTCTCGACTTCTGGTCGTGAGTGACAGTATTGGGGGGATGGGAAATCTGTTGATTGTCGAGTGCCAAATAAACACAGAGATGGACAGGAAAAGGTCAAAGCCATCAGGTGCCCAATTTAGAAAAAAAAGAAAAGAAGAAGAGGGGAAATGAGCAAAAGATAAAGGTATGCAACTATGTTCTCTCTGTATGATTATTACGGTATTCATGTCATGAATGAAGGGCTAATGTTAACTGGTGGGTATAACTCTTAAGTTTGTTAGCCTTTTTGCTATGATGCTATATTTAACTCAACAAACACGAGATTTAATTTCACCATAATATTGTGCTTTGCAACAAAACTGTTACAAGTTCAGTTATTATTTATTTCCATCAGTTGGGTTAACGTTAGGCCCTATAATTAGCCAATGGAATGTTCAAATCTGTGTAATTATAATTTAAATCTGACTACTTTTCAAATTGTATTTCATAAACCAACATCTCAGACGTTATGTCAAAACGTTATGTGGTTTCAAATCAAAAAATTACTTTCTGTTACAGAACAGGGCATTGATTTCATACATGTCCACTGTAGAGGACATCAGGACTTAAATCATGTTTATCAGGCATTTTGGGAGACACAAAAAGTGAATATGGAAATAAATTATACATCAATATTCCTAAGAAATATTAGATATTATTAATAAAATAATTACTCCAATTATTACACTTATTTTTTCATTAAATGTTGCTCCAAGAACACATTAATATGCAAATTAGATACAGTATATAGTGTATATTTCTGTTCTGATAACTTATTGTCATGAATCCGGTCTATGAACTTCCATTCACTCACCACCAGAGGTCACCCTTCCATGATATTGACTCTCGCACCACACAGACTGTTACACATCACCCTGGACTACATTTCCCATGTTCCATTGCACTGATTACACTCACACCTGAAACCAATTACACGCTCACCTGAATGCTATTGTAACACACTATGTAACATCTACCCTGATCCTGCTCTAGTCGTCGAGTATTGTTCAGCATTTATCGCTAGGGATAGCTACTTTACGGAGCCCTTCCAAGTTCATGAGTCTAGCCTTGTTCATAGTTGGCCTCCTGAACCGTCTGCTCCACCATGGCCTCCTGAACCGTCTGATCCGTCATGGCCTCCTGAACCGTGTGCTCCGCCATGGCCTCCTAGTCTGCCTGCTCCGCCCCGAACTCCCTGATCTGCCCTGGAGGCCTTCCCTGTCTCCACCCTGTTCCTGCCCTGCACCAGCCTCCAGGGTGCCCGCCCCCCTTCCCCGGTGGTATTGTCACGGCATGGGACGCGCCTTCCGGGAGGGGGGAGTAATGTCACGTTTATGGTCGGTTTTGTTTTTGTTTTCCCTGTGTTTCCATGCCCTTATTTGGTCCTTCCTGTTCCTGATATAATTGTTTCTAATTTGTTCCAGGTGTTCCTTGTCATTTAGTTATCCTCATCACCTGTCTGCCCCTCGTTATCTGCCCTATTTAAGTTCGAGCCTGTTCTGTTCTCCCTTGTCTGGAATTGTTCATGTCAACCTTTGCGACGTGTGTTTTCCTGTTCCCTTGGATAGTATTAAAGTCTACAAGTTTGAATTCGACTCTGCGTCTCCTCGTTCCTTGCTCCGTGCTCCTCACAGTAGCAGACCTTGACACTTCAGGGT